GCGGGCAGGTGGCTGAGCTGGGCTGGGGGAGGGAGGGGAATGGGCAGCGGCTCAGCCTGCTCTGCCTCACTCGCTGCTTGCTGTCCCGCATCACCCCCACCTCGCCTGGCCTGGCCTTACCCCACTCGTCTCTCTGCCTCCCGACTCTGTCCCTGCACCCCTGCACCCCTCGCTCCCCCGCCCCTCCCCCTCCCGCCGCCCGCAGGTGGTGGGCATGGGCCTGTTGCTGACCTTCATCGGCCTGCAGACCAGCAAGATTGTGGTGGCGGCCCCCGAGACGATGGTCACCATGGGCGACCTGTTTGCGCTGGAGCCGCTCCTGGCCATCGGCGGCCTGGCCGTCATCTCCGCGCTGCACTACCGCAACGTCAAGGGCTCCATCATCATCGGCGTGCTGCTCGTCGCGCTGGCCTACTTTGCCGCCAAGGGCGCCTGGCCCACAGAGTGCGCGGGGGCTGGGGGAGGGGCCTGTGGGTTTGATGCTGTGGGTTGCTGGCGGTGGGCGCTGTGTGTGTGGTGGTGGGAGGAGGCGTCAGGCGGTGGGAGGAGGTGTTTGTGGGCAGGCGGTGGAGCGGGGCGTCGGGCCGGGGCTGCAGGGGAGGGGAGCGGGCTCCCCGCCGCTCGCACCAGCGCCGCTGGCGCTATCTTGCCCGCCGGCCTGCCCGCCACCCACCTCCCCGCCGCCCCCGTCGCCCGCCCCGCCCCGCCCCTGCCTGCCCGCAAGTTTGTGGCGCTGCCACACCTCAAGTTCTTCGCCCTTGACTTCTCGGAGCTGCTTGCTTTCAAGCCCTCAGCCTGGTCCGCGGTGCTGGCCTACACGCTGGTCATGATCTTCGACATCGGCGGCGCCATGTTTGGGCTGGGCAACTTGGCGGGGCTGGTGCGGGACGGGCACGTGCCCGGCGCGGTGTGGACCTACCTGGCGGCTTCCGCCGGTACCGCGCTGGGCGCGCTGACGGGCACCACCCCGCTCATCATCGCCGCCGAGTCGGCGGTGGGCATCAAGGAGGGCGGGCGCACGGGCCTGGTGGCCGTCACCGTGGCAGGATGCTTCGCCGTCAGCATGCTGCTGTCGCCCTTCCTCCAGGTGCGGCGGCGGGGGTGTGCACGACGTGCACGACGTGCTTGCGCTTGGAAGGGGCTGGCCGCATGCTGCACTGCAGGGCGTGCATGGGACGCGCATGCACCTGCAGCCCCGCCATATCTGCTCTCTCTGGCTGCCACGACCCTCCGCCTCCGCCTACACACACACATAAAATACCACCACCCCGCCGCCGCCGCCACGTGCCACCACCGCATGCAGGCCATCCCCCAGCTGGCCACTGCGCCCGTGCTGGTGCTGGTGGGGGCGATGATGATGGGAGAGTCCACCCACATCGACTGGAGCAGCATGCTCACCGCCGTGCCCGCCTTCCTCACCATCGTCATACAGCCGTGAGTGGCGGCGGGCAGGCAGGCAGGCGCAGCGGGCAGCAGCGGCAGCAGAGGCTGCAGCAGCAGGTGGCAGCAGCAGCAGCAGCAGAGGCTGCACCAGCGGGCAGCAGCAAGAGGAGGAGGCGCGGGAGTTGTGACTCGCCTGCAGCAAGGGACGGGGCTTGCTGGCTGGGGCGCCTTCCTGCGTCGCCTGCCTTTCAGCAGCACGGCCGGCCTGCGGGCGTCGCCACCTCCTTCTGCACCTCTGCTGCACGCCCCTCACACTTGGCATCACCCGCCTGACCGCCCCACCCTGCCCTTCCCCTCCCTCCCCTTTCCGCTCCCCTGTCCCTTCCCCCTCACCTCCCCTCCTCTCCTCCACCCGCGTCGCCTGCACCGCAGCTTCACCTTCTCCATCGCCAACGGCATCTACGCGGGCCTCACCATGTCGGTGCTCCTCTTCTTCCTCACCGGACAGTTCCTGGAGGTGTTCCGCGGCGCTAAGGGCGAGGGTGGAGACCTGGAGACGCCGCTGCTGGGCGGCTCCGATGGCGGCGGCGGCGCCGACGAGGAGCCCAATGGCCACGTCCCGGGCGCCGACACCCCGCGCCTGCCGCCCCTGCCCGGCGTCGCCGAGGGCGGGCAGGCGATCCCCATCGGCGCCGCGCTGCGCCGCAACCTGCCCCACGAGGTGGCAGCCCTGGTGGGCAGCCTGACGGGGTCGCTGCGCTCCCGCGGCAGCGCGCCTTATCAACGCAACAGCTACACCATGTACATCAACGTGGCGGGCAGCGGCGCGGGCACAACGCCCAGCGTGGGCAGCGGCGCGCGCAGCTCGCGCGCCGGGTCAGACGCGCCGCACGGCGGCTCCGACCTGGGCCACCACTTAGACCACTGAGGAGCTACAGAGGGGGCAGCGAGGCAGTGGAGGGAGCGGGCAGGGCGCCAGCAGGGCGCCAGCTGCGCAGGCGCTGCTCCTCTTCCCCGTGAACCACCCCCGTGCCAAGCCCGCCGGGGCCAGCCTTGCCAGGCCAATTGGCGGCGGCCGCCCCGCCCGAGACCGTTGCTGGCCGCGGCGCCTTACGCGCCCTCTGCGGGTGGTGCACGCAGGGCGGCCCTTTTTCCCTCCTGATCCGTGACGGTTTGCTTGCCATTGCTCCATGCGCATCCCTTATCTACTGCAAAATATCTGTGTGAATTGATTGACAGACACCCTCCATCATGTAATGCCACACGCCGGCTCGCTGCGCTGAAGGTGGCAGGGGGTGGTGTGCGCTCATTGGCCGGCGTTGGGCATCATCGCTAAAACTCCCGTGCTGTGCATGCTGTGCATCCCGGTGCTGCTGTGCTGTTCAAGCTGGGTCTGGCAACCAGCTGTGGCTGTAAAGCTGTGCACGGTGACATCGGGGGTGTGCCTGGTGATGGATGACCCTAGCTTTGGTGCCCTGACGCCGCCTCCTGCATGAGCTTGGCTGCCGCCTGCCACATGCCAGGCTGCGCCAACAACAGCCCCATCGTTGCCACCTGCTCCTCCTGCTGCGCCGCCAGGTAGCTGCCCACCAGGTGCGGCGTGAGGCCCGCGGCCGCCGCCCCCGGCTGGCTGGCGGCGGCAATCAGGTGCTGCACCATGCGGTGGTGGCTGCTGCCCCGAGGGCTGTCGGCAGCTGCGGCGGCGGCAGCGGTGGCCCCATCCTCCGCACGTGGGACCATGGGGGCCAAACGCGCCCGCTTGGCGGCTGGCCCGCCCTCTGTGCCGTCCTGCCCCTGGCGCGGGCCCTCCCTGCTGCCGCCCCCGGCGGCATCCCGCCGCATCCTGCCAGCGCCGCCCGGCGCCGCCGCCACGCCAGCCCCGCCACGCCTGCGCAGCCTGCCTCCCCCCACATCCGGGCTGCCAGGCAGCAGCCGCAAGCTGCCTTCCTCGCTGCCTCCCTCGCTCAGGCCCCCCTCTGAGTGTGGAGCCTGGCCGCCACCCCCGCCACCTTGCTGGCCAGCCAGCCAGCCCACCAGCGCCTCGGCACCGCCTTCCGGCACCGCTCCAGGGCCGCCGCCGCCGCCGCCGCCGCCGCCGGGGCTGGTGCCGTGGGGTGAGTTGCCAGCCGCGCCGACAGGGGCAGCTGCCGCGGCGGCCGCCGCCTTGGCTGGGAGGTGCCTGGAGGGCGCCGCCTGCTTCCTCCTGCCGCGCGTCGAGCGCCCACGCGGCTGCCGGGGCTGCCGCGCCTGCCCCTCCTCCTGCTCCCCGCCCCCGCTCTCCTCCCGCCCCTCATCCTCGTAGTCGCCGTCGCTGGTGCCGCCCCTGCCGCCGCCGCTGTCGCTGCTCCCAGAACCGTCGCTGCTCCGTGAGTCGTCACGCGGCGCTGCCTTGCGGGCATAGCGCCCGCTCAGCCAGGGGGCCCCGGCGTGGAGGTACCCGCCCAGCCGCACCACCCCCCGCCTGACCGGCCTGCTGCGACTGGGTGCCTCCTCGCCTTCCTCCCCTCCCTCGCCCTCCCCCTCCTCCTCCCCTGCCTGCTCCGACTGAAATGGTGCTGCCGGGGCGGCGGCCGCCTCCTCCCGGCGCTGCTGTGCCCCAGGCACTGCCGCCTGCGGCGCCTCCTCTTCCTCCTCCTCCTCCTCCTCCCCCACATCCTCCGGCTTCGCCTGCTGCGCCAGCTGTGCCAGCCTGCCGCTGTCGCGCAGCCGCCTGGCCAGGGCCTGCAGCTGCCGGTGGTCGGCGGCCTGCTGCAGCTGGCGCATCAGCTGTGTGTCGGCCTGGTAGCTGCAAGAGGGCGGGTGGGTTGGCAGGCAGGCAGGCAGGCGGGTGCTCGGGTGGGAATCTCCCGACGCCCGACCAGCAAGAGCGGAGCGCTTGTTGAGTGCCACAAGCATGCCTGGCCCAAACGAGGGCACACCGCAGGCCGCCCTGTATGAATTCAATCCCAACTGGAGCGCCACCATGATGTTTAGAAAGCACTGCCCGCCCCACCTGTCTAGCGGGAGGAGGTAGGGCTGCATGTGGGCCTTGCGAGGCTCCAGCCCCTTGATGCGCCGCCACAGCAGCGCCAGGTCGCGCGCTGCCGCGGCCTCGCCCAGCGTGGCGCAGCCGGCAAGCCTGACTTGCAGGGTCTTGCCGCCGGGCCTTGCGGGGCTGGTGATGTAAGTCGTGGCGTGGTAGTGGCGCCTCCCCTTCTTCACCAGCAAGATCCCGTGGGGCAGGCGGGCTAAGGCGCGGCCCGCTGCCGCCGCTGCCTGCTCGTGCGCTGGCGGCTGCGCAGCCTGCAGGCTCGGCTGCGGCTGTGCTGCTTCTGCCGTGGCGATGCCAGTGCTGGCAGGCGGCTGCGCGGCATCCTCCACTGGCGGCGGCCCCCTGCTGCTGCTGCCTCCGGCGCCGCCGCCGCTCCCATCTCCGCCTGCAGCAGCCACCTGCATTGCATGCTACTGCAGCAGCTCAACCAGCTCTGCCAGGCTGACCTGCTGCAGGTCCTCATCGTCCTCATTCCCCATCATCCAGCCAGCCTCAGCAGCCGAGGCTCCTGGCTGCTGCGCCGGCAGCCCGCTGCCGCCGCCGCTGCACCCGAGCTTGCGGCACAGCACCTGCGCTGCCTTGGATGCTGCCTCGCGGCTGGGGAACGGCCCCACACGCCACTCCCGCTGCTGCCCAGTCTGCTGCTCCTGCTCGGGTTGCTCCCCCACGTCTGCCTCCACCACCCACAGCCCGCCCTGCTGCACCACCTCAACCCTGGCCTGCTGCATTGTGCGAGGGCTTTGGAGGGAAAGGAGAGACCTGAGAGACCTGAGAGGAGATGGCTTGGGGTTTGGTGAGGAAAGGTTAAAAAGAAACCCTGGACCCTCTGAAAGCACCTCCCCCAAGTGAATGGCACAACAGGGGGACAACAAAGCTGAACAACGGCAGCATCCCAAGACGGCCCAGGCGCTGCCGCCGCACATGGAGGCCGGCGGGTGCTGGCGACGCGCGCTAAATGGATAACGTGTTAACAAATGCTATACAATGAAAGCTGCCCTGTGAGATTATGATGCATGATGTGGCAAGAAGTTGCAGAATGCGCTGCTCAGCACACTAACGCAACAGAAGACACACGAGCGCTGATGTACAGACTGTTGAAAGCTGTCCAAGGAAAGGCGTGCTTCTTGCATGCAGAGGCGTGTGATGTGCCTGTTCCGGCCAGGCCTGATCACTGGCCAGGGCTGGACGCCGCACCCCGCATGATGGTTGCCACCGCCGCCCACATGCCCTTCTGGGCCAGCAGGCGCAGCATGGCCTCCCGCTCCCGCTCCCACTGGGCCCGCTCCCGCTCCTGCTGTTCCTGCTCCTGCCTGAGGAAGAAGCTCAGGCTGGCTGCCAGCAGCCACTAGCTGCTCCAGCAGAAGCATGTGGCTCCCCATTTGGCCGGCAGAAGCTGGCAGGGCTGCATTGGCGGGGCTGGGCACACCGGCAGGGGTGGAGCACGGAACAGCAGGCTCCGCCACCGGCGTGACTGGGGGGACCGCCACTGCCGGTGGGGCCGCCGCCGCGCCAGGTGACGGTTCAGCAGGGCCTGCCGCCGCAGCAGCAGGGCAGGGCTCTCGAGCTGGCAGCACAACTGCTGGAGCTGAGCGCACAGGCGCGCCGGCCCTGGCAGTGGCAGCTGATCGTCCGGCTGCGGCGTGTGCCACATTGGTGGCAGCAGGAGGGCTGGCTTCTCCAGCTGGCTCCACACATGCTGGGGCTGCGTGCTCGGGCGCGCCTGCACCTTCACTTCGCTGCCCTGCGTGCTGCCTCCCATGCTCTGTCTTGGGCAGCGCTGGTTCTTCAGGAGTTGCCGAGGGCATGGCTGCAGGTGCAGCCTGCGTGCACGGGTCATGCGCCTCCTGCAGCCCGCCTTCAGTCCCAGCAGGGCCAGCACTGTGAGGTACGCAGGCGCCTGGCGTGGCCAGCGGGGCGGTGCCCCTTGCAATCTCTGCACCGGCCCCAGCAGCAGCCAACGACACAGGCCTTTCCTGGGTCTGCCGGACAAGCCCGCCACCTCTGTTGCCACTGCCACCTGTCCTATGCTTCTTGCTGGCACCGCCGGCTGCTGCTGCACCGGCCGTGCTCCCGGGCACCCATCGCTTCTGGCCACTGGCGCTGGCCCTGCCGGCAGCGCCGCCGCCGCGCGTCGTGCTGGTGCCTGCCTGGCGGCGCTCACCGCCCCCGCCGCCTTGTGGGTCGCCCAGGCGGCCCACCAGCGCCTCCAGCTGCCCGCTGGCCCTCAGCTTCCGCAGGAGAGTCCTGAGATTCTCCAGCGACTCAGCCCTCTCCACCTGCTTCATCAGATCGTCCTCGGCATCATACCTGGGAAGGAGGCAAGGTGAGCGGCATGATGGGCAGCATGGCCGGCAAACGGTGGTCGAGGCCAATAACAGCAAAGAGTGAGTCAGATTACCTGGCCTGCGAGAAATATAGCCTCTGAAACCGAATATCCTTGTGCTCTTTGCGCCACAGCAGGGCAATGTCTCGCATCGCCGCCGCCTGCAGGCCCGGCGAGCAGGCAGGCGGTGCAGTACCATGGCTTAGAGGGCACAGCACGCAAGATCACACAATGCATGGGCATGAAAGCAGCAGTTCTGTACCAACCACCATGGTGAGGCTGATATGCATATTGCTAGGCATAGCTGCTAACTGTGCACGCCATACCTGCTCAATCGTTTCGCAACCGGGTAGGGAAACCTGTAAGAAGTTGATCTTAAATCTTGGTTCATACGGAAAGTGCGAACCGCGGGACCGCTTGTCGAACTTTACGCATGCTGCATGGCCGTGGCTAGGGGTAGCAGCCTCGAAATCCTGGCTCAGCTGCTGTTGCTGAGGCTGGCTGATGACCAGGTTGGCCCCTGGAGCAGCCTGCTCAGCGGCAGCCGGGCACGGTGCACGAGCTGCCCCGGGTATGCTGGCGGCGGCTGGTTCAGCAGCGATCGCGGCTGCACTGCTGTTTGCCACGTTGCCGACCCCATACTGTTGCAGTAACGCCACCAAATCCTGGCCCTTGCCTCGGCTCTTCAGAAAGCTTCTCATGGGCTGCGCAACCACGGCGGCTGCCTCGTGGCTGGCGAAGGGCCCCACACGCCACTCCCGCTGCTGGCCAGGCTGCTGCTCCTGCTCGGGCTGCTCCCCCACGTCTGCCTCCACCACCCACAGCCCGCCCTGCTGCATCACCTCAACCCTGGCCTGCTGCATTGTGCGGGGGCTTGGGAGGGAAAGGAGACCTGAGAGGAGATGGCTTGGGGTTTGGTGAGGAAAGGTTGAAAAGAAAGCCTGGCCCCTCTCACCCCACCTCCCCAAGTTAATGGCAAAACAGGAACTTGTACAAAGCTGAACAACGGCACCACGCATGAAGGCCGCCGCGGGCTGGCGTCACTCCCGGCGGCAGCTCACTGCCGCTTCTCTGGATTACAGACAGCCTACACAACACAATGCCCGAATGGCCCATGAAACGTGTTTACAAATGCTGCACCGTGAAAGGTGCCCTGTGGGTTTATGATGCCTGATGTGGCAAGAAGTTGCAGAATGCGCTGCTCAGCACACTAACACAACAGAACACACATGCGCGCTGATGTACAGACTGTTGAAAGCTGTCCAAGGAAAGGCGTGCTTGTTGCATGCAGAGGCGTGTGATGTGCCTGTTCCGGCCAGGCCTGATCACTGGCCAGGGCCGGGGGCCGCACTCTGCATGATGGTTGCCACCGCCGCCCACATGCCCTTCTGGGCCAGCAGGCGCAGCATGGCCTCCCGCTCCCGCTCCCGCTCCTGCTGGGCCCGCTCCTGCTCCCGCTCCCGCGGCTAAGAAAGGCCTTCTTTGAAGGCGCTGGAGCTAGTGTCTAAACCCTCCGAGAGGGCACACGTTCGATTCCTCCCATGTCGAAACTTTGTGAGGACAAACGCGGCATAGCTGACCGGCTCAGCGCCAATCTAAGCCAATTCCCTCGGGAACGCCTAATAGAATCGCTAAGGTTTCGGCACAGGCCTCCCCGGGACCCATTCACTACTAGTGGGGGGTACTGCACTTGGCGCGTCGGGCAGATCACATAATGGTCTAAAGCTAGACGTTAAAACCGGGAAGTTAAGCCTGTGGAGGCTCTTCCCCACCTTTACCTTTGCCTGCTCCCGCTCCCGCTCCCGCCGTTCCTGCTGCTGCTGCAGGAAGTAGCTTGCCACCAGGTCCTGCGTGAGCCCCGCTGCCTCCGCCCCCGGCTGGCCGGCAGCGGCAGCCAGCTGCTCCAGCACACCCATGCGACCGGTGCTGGTAAAACCGGCCCCGGGGCCCGCCGCCGCCGCGGCAGATGGCCCGGCAGCGGCCGCCGCCGCATTGGTGGCGTCGACAGGGCTGCCCTCTTGCGCCGGCAGCACACCGGCTGGAGGCGAGAGCGCGTGCGCGCCAGCCCCACCACCGCTGCCCTGCCCTCCCTTCTGGCTTCCCTGCTCTGCCCTGGCAGCGGGAGATGCTGCCGGGACGGCTCTGCCGAACGCGGGACGGCTGCGCCCAGCCTGCTGGGTGGCACCCCCAGCGCCAGCAGCGGTGCCTGGCGCTCCTCTCCCCTGGTTCCGGCTGCCACCGGCGCCACTCCCTGGCGTCCTCTGCCTCTTGCCGGCATTGCAGGCGCAGCAAGGGGCGCGTCCCCGGGCGCCCCACGCTTGCGGCCACCGCTGCCGCCCCTGCCGGCGGTGGTGCCGCCGCTCGGCGCGCTGGCCGTGCCCCCTCGCTGCTCCCCATCCCCGCCGCCTTGCTGGCCAGCCAGGCGGCCCACGAGCGCCTCCAGCTGCCCGCTGTCCCTCAGCTCACGCAGCAGATCCTTCAGCTGCTCCTCCGACCCAGCCTCCTTCATCCGCTGCATCAGGCCGCTCTCGGCCCTGTACCTGCGCAGGAGGTCAGCAGCCGCGGCGGCGAGGTGGGAGATCTGGCTGGCAGCTGGCAGCTGAAGTGTGGGATGAAGCCCACCTGGCCTCAGGGAAGTTAAGGGGCTGGAGCTGCCTCCCCTCCTCCCCCTCCTCCAGCCCCTGCATGTGCCCCCACAGCAGGCCTATGTCGCGCATCGCCGCTGCCTGCATGCCAGGCGGGCAGGCTCACGGGTCAGGCAGGGCAGCAGGGCATGGCCCCAAACCACCAGCGACCAGGTTCAGGGCTGACGATGGGCGCTGAGTTTGCAGCTGTAAGGCGGTCTGGGCCGCACCTGCTCAGCCGTGGCGGCGCGGCGCAGGGAGACCCTCCGACCTGCTACACTGAAGTAAGGATGGAACGGGCGCGGCGCATTGCTGTTGTCTCGGGACACGCCAAATAACTTCTGAGTGCCAACACATCGCGCAGCTGGTGCCTCGGTGCGGCGCTCGTCCCTGTGGGCTGCCGCGGGACTGCCAGGCGAACCGCCACTGTGGGCGGGAGAAGCCCCGCCGGCGCCAGAGGCAGTGGCGGCTGCTGCCGCCGGCGCGGGCTGTGCCGCTTCCACGTGCCGGCTGGGAGCCGCCTGCTTCCTGCTCCGCGAGCGCCCTGGCTGCGGCTGCAGGTGAACCTCCTCGCCCTGCTCCTCCTCCAGCTGAGCTGATTCAGCCGGCTCCCCATGCTGCTCCTGCTGCGCCAGCTGCGCCAGCTTGCCGCTGTCCCTCAGGCGTCCAGCCAGCGCACTCAACTGCTTTGGGTCAGCAGCCTGCCGCAGCAGCTCCATCAACTCCTCGTCTGCCTCATACCTGGGCACACGCGCGCGCAGGGGTGGCGCCAAAGATCAGCGGCGGCAAAGCTCGGCGGACAGGGCGGTGTCAGGTAAAGCGGACACAAAGCACAGGTGCTGCAACTCGCTGTGGCTGGCAAAGTTCAGCGCCCTTCCACGGCAGCTCACCTGTATTGCGGGTAGAAGAGGTCCACTGCGTGGCCACCAGCCGCCTCCACCTCATTCACGCGTCGCCACAGAACACACAAGTCACGCGCCACCGCCGCCTCCTCACGCGAATCGCAGTTGACAGAGACGCGTTTGCCTGCCATTCCAACCTTGGCCCGATACCGCCCAGAGCGCAGTTCGTAAACGCAAGAAAGTGCTTCCAAAGAGCTGCCTGTAGCCGCGGCTGGTGCAGCAGTAGCGGCAGGCTGCTGCTGCTGGAAGGCTGCCTCAGCATGCCCCTGCACGCCGCCATCGCTCTCCTCGGTCGCTGTGCGGCCGCGACTGGGGCCGGTAGCTTTCAGATGCTGCTCCGGCTGCTGAGACTGGCCAATTATCCGATTGGCGCCGTCTGCAGCGGCCTCTGCTGCTGGCACACCTCCAGGCGTGCACGGCGCAGCAGGTGTGCCCGTGGCGTTGGCTGACACTGGCGGTGCTGCACCGCCGCCGTCTCCACCACTTTCGGGTTCAACCACATGCTCCTGCAGCAGCTCCACCAGCTCTGCTAGGGTGCACTGCTGTAGGTCCTCCAAGTCCTCTTCCACTTCTGCTGTTGTGTAGCCCTCTGGCTCTTCTCCATCGAGCAAGCCGCCAGGCTGGTGGTGCTGCTGCTGTTCGGTGGGCGAAATGCAACCGCCGTCGGCGTGCAGCTTGCGGCGCAGCAGCCGGGCTGCGTTGGCTGCTGCATCCTTGCTGGGAAAAGGCCCTATACGCCACTCCCGCTGCTCAGGCTGCTGCTCCGGGTCGAGCCGTTCGTCCAGCTCCAGCTCCACTATCCAGCACTCGCTGCTCTCCTGCACCACCTCCACCCTGGCCTGCTGCATGCTCATCGGCAGAGTCGTTGCGTGCGTGTCCGGCTGAGGCTGGCTGTTGACCTGGTTGGCCCCTGGAGCAGCCTGCTCAGCTGCCGCCGGGCCCGGTGCACGTGCTGCAGCAGGTATGCTGGCAGCGGCTGGTTCAGCAGCGATCGCGCCTGCACTGCTCGCGCCTGCACTGCTGTTTGCCACATTGACGACCCCAAACTTTTGCAGAAGAGCCTGGACCAAGTCCAGCCCGTTGCCTCGGCTCTCCAGAAAGCTGCTCAGCAGCTGCGCTGCCTTGGATGCTGCCTCATGGGTGCGAGAGGGGCCCACACGCCACTGGCGTTGCTGCCCAAGCTGCTGCCCAGGCTGGGGCTGCTCTCCTGCCTCAACGTCCAACACCCACAGGCCGCCCTGCTGCACCACCTCAACCCTGGGCTGCTGCATTGTGCACAAGCAACCCGAGGACAGGACAATGTGTCTGCTGTTCGCGAGGGTCGCGCTGATGTGGCGGGTGTGTTGTGCCGGCGCCAAGCTGCAGCTGCCCTCCTTTTGTCGCCGTGATTCTTCTTTACATGGCCCTCCAATGAAGCTGAGGGTTGCAAACCAACGCGAAAGGCAGCAAGAACGGCTGAACGGCATCGACGCACAAGGAGACGCACGAGGAGGCGTGCCCTGGAAGCACCCTCAGCAGCAAGATGTCTTGCTCTCTGGGGACAACAGCGCTGCGAACGCGGGTTCAGTACTCAGTACTCCTCTTCCTCGCCCGCCGCCGCCACCGTCGCCGCTCCGGCAGGGACGGCGCCGCCGCCGGGCGCCGGCCCTGCGGCGCTGGGCGCGGGGGCCGCCCCCGCTGCCGCCGCGAGGTCGCTTGCCTCCCTCCGTGCATAGCTGTTGGCCTTGTGCTTGGGCGAGAAGACAAAGCCCTGCCGCAGGAGGAGATCGCAACCGGGTAAGGGCCAGCAGGGCGGGGGCCAGCAAGCACTGCGAGGGCGGGCAGCCGGCAGCGACGCAGCCCGGGCTGCTGGCGTGGCGAGGCGCGCCGGGCCTGCTATCCAGTGGCTGGCAGTGCACGCGCGGGGCCCTCGGCCCCACCACCACCACCACCACCACCACCACCACCGCCGCCACCACCACCTCCGCCACACCAGCCCGGCAACCCACCGGCGGCGCGGGCCCCAGAAGCATCTCGCTGACTGCCACCCAGTCTGCGGCATTATCCGAGGCCAGGAGGGTCTCCAGGTCGGAGCGCCCCACAAAGGCGGGCGGGCGCCAGTGCATGCGCTGCGGCACCACCTCCAGCAGGCCCACAGGGATGTAGCGGTGGGTGAAGGACAGCCACTCCAGCAGGAAGCGGCTGCGGGAGAGGGAAGGGGGCAGGGTCAGGGGCAGAGGGTTCGTGACGGCAGGGGAGGGTGGGGACGCGGGTAGGGTGGGTGGAGGGCAGCGGGGGGCGCGAGAAGCCGAGCGGGCACCCGCGCCCTCCTCCCCAGCTGCTCCCTCCCTCGGCAGCGGGCCCCTGCGCCGCCGCAGGGCGACCCCCGCCAGCCCAGTACCGGTCCCTGGCAAGCAGCGGTACCACCACACGGTACCGCCTCACCGAGTGGTCTCCACCCCCCGGCTGTCGCTGCCCCAGTGCTCCAGCCCGTTCGAGCAGAAGCGCTTGAACATGTCCAGCCGCTCACCTGGGGGCAGGCGGGCAGGGTAGGCGGTAGGCGTGGCGCGGCAGCAGCAGGGAGGGCGCGACGTCAGCAAGCAGGTAGACCACACAGGTCTGCCGATGCTCCCTCTGCCTCCCTGCCGGGCAGCCCCGCCCAGCGGACAAGACGTGCGCCACCCTGCCTGCCAGCCGTGCCGCCGCCGCCGCCGAGCGGCAGCAGGCCTGCAGGCCCCGCCACTGCTCCGCCGGCGGGGCCAGGGGTGGGTCTCACCCGCGCTGATGTCCCAGTGCCGCCGCTCCTTGATCTCTGTAAAGATCCAGGGCTTGATTAGGGCGCCGCGCGCGATGTAAGTGGTGGCCAGGCCGGGGCACTCCTCCAGGTGCCTGCACGCACGGGGAGGCACAGGCGGGAGAGTGGGGCAGCTGTGCCCACGGGACGGCACACCCAAAACACCATCTGGCGCCGCTGGCGCTGCCTGGCGCTCGCTCCGTAGGCCAGGCCAGGCCAGCCGTGCCGCCTGCTTTGCTCTCCCCCTGCTCATGCCGGCCGTGCACTGCTGTGCCGCCATCTGGCCGCCGTCTGGCCCTGACGCCACAACTGGCACACGCACGCAGCCACCACCACCACCGGCACCACCACCGCATCACCACCGCCAGCAACCCACACCTGTAGTGGTCCTCGAAAGAGAACACGTCGCCGTTGCCCACCACCTGCAGCCCTGTGCCCTCGGCCGCCTCCACGCAGCGCTTGATGTAGGGCCAGTCGGCCAGCCTGCAGGGTGGCGGGGCGGGCACGTCGTCGGCGGCGGCGGCAGCAAGTCGGCAGCGTCGGCAGCGAGCCGGGCCGCAGGCGCGAGGAGGTAGGCAGGAGGAGCAGGCAGGCAACGAGTGCCTAGCCGTCGCTCAGCCTGCTGCGCCTCACCCCGCCCCACCAGCTGCCCCCAGCCCAGCCCGCCCTCACCTGCTGTACCGCTGCTCGCGGGTGCGGCCGTGCAGCGTGACGGCGGCGGCGCCCCAGCCCGCGGCCTGCGGTATGAGCGTGTGCGCCATGTCCTGACCGTCGTGGTAGCCCTGCACACGCAGTGTGTGAGTGCGTGCGTGTGTGTGTGAGAGAGAGAGTGTGTGAGTGTGCATGTGTGTCGACAGGGGAGCAGCTCAGCGCGTGCTCGTCTCTCTTCTCAGGGCACACCACGCCGCCACACTATGCACACACATGCCACCATACCACTACCAAGCCAGCCCAGCCCGCCCAGCCAGCCAGCCAGCCGGCCCACCTTGCGGCTCTTGAAGGTGACGGGGCAGGAGAGGACCGAGCTCATGCCGCGCACGATGGCCTGCATGCGCTGCGGCTTGAGCAGGCACGCCGACCCCGCGCCCTTGCTGCACACACACACACACAATAGACATTTGACCGCAGGAGGGGTAGGAATCGCAGGCTGCCCGGGCCACCTGAGCAGCGCCCTCGCAGGGCCTGGCCTCGCCCACCGCCCTCCAGCATCCTCGCTCGTCCGACGCGGCGCACCCCTGCGGCCCACAGACGGCCCCAGGGACAGGCCGGCCTGTGCCGTACCGCCCCACCCTGCACACCACGCCTACCTAACCTAAAACCCCTAAAACCCACCTGCACACCACGTCAATGGGGCACCCAAAGTTGACATCCACAAAGTCCACGCAGCACTGCTCCTCCACCAGCTGCGCGCAGCGGGCCAGGCTGTCGGCGTACCCGCCGCACAGCTGCGGCAGGGCGGGGGGGGAAGGCAGGAGGAGGGGCATGGGCAGGTGGGCAGAGGCAGGCGCAGGCTGGGCGCGTCGGAGGAGCGAGTGTGCGCACGCTGCGCGCACGCCCACGGCCGCATGGTGGCTACCCAAGCCCCAGCGCATCCACGGATCCCACCCGCCTGCCACCCACCCCAAAGCCCACACATGCCCACACATCCCCACCCAGCACATGCCCCCACACCTGCACACTGCGCCCCGCCCACCTGCACACTGCGGGCGCTCGGCCCCCCACACCCACCTGCACCCCGAAGCAGTCCTCGCTGGGGTGGCGCTTGAGCAGCGCCCACTCGCTGGGCTGGCCCTGCAGCAGGTTGGTGGCCAGAGCCATCTCGCCGCACGTCACATCCGCGCCGAGCCCCTTGCACACCCTGCGCCGCCACGTGGCACGCATGCGGGGGAGGGTGGGGGCGTGCGGACAGGCGTGTGTGCAGGGGCATGCGCCGGCCAGCTGGGCGGGAGCAAGGGCAAGAGGCGGGGCGCTGGCGCACACGGCGGCGCGGACGATCTGCCCTCCTCCCCATGGCAGCGCCATGCGGCGACGCGGGCATGTGAGCAGCAGGCGAGCAGCCGCCGGCAGCAGCAGCAGCAGCAGGCGCGGCGGCGGCGGCGGCGGCGGTAGCGGAGCCGCAGCCTCGCCTGCGGAAGGGCAGGTTTCCTGCCGTGGTGAGCGGCGCCAGGAAGGTCTTGCCCCGGAAGTCAACTGAGCGCTTCTCGCGGGGGTGGGGCCGCGCCTCCACGTAGCCCGCATCCCCGCCCCCGCCGCCGCCGGCGGCGCCCGCCGCGGCGTCTGCCACGGCCGCCCCCAGGCTGCCCACAAAGACGGCGTCGCCGGCGGCGGCAGCAGGTGCAGCTGCAGCTCCTGCCGCCGCCGCTGTGCCTGCTGGCTCCTTGGGTGCCTCATCCACTGCCATGGGGGCTGCGCCCTCCACGCCCTCCCCACCACCGCCGCCGCCGCCGCGCCCGCCGGGCTCAAGCTTGGCGCGTTTGGGCGCCGGCGCCTCGGCCCCCGCCTGGGGCCCGCCGCCATCGGGTGGTGGTGCGCCAGCGGGAACCTGAGCCGGTCCCGTGGCGGGGCTGCCGCCGCGCCCTCCTCGCCCGCCGCCGCGCCCGCCGCGCCCGCCGCCGCGCCCGCCCCGCCCGCCTCGGTCCCTGTGGAAGGTGATACCCATGGATGCCAGCACAGCATCCGCCGCCTGAAACGAGTAGCCGCCCTTCCTGCGCCGCAGGGAACGCCCAGGGGGCGCAGAATCAGGTGCGGCGCAAGCAGCACGGGGGCCGGCGCCGCGCGGGCAAGCGGCGGCGGGGCATTGCGGATCCGCGCCCGCCTGTGCCCCTCGGCACAGCTTCAGCTCGGCAGCAGCGAGGCGAGCAGGCAGGCGGGGTGCCTGCCTAGGCAGGCCTGCCCAGGCAGCAGGCGCACCTGAGCTGCGTCTGCACCTCCTTGCTCAGGGTGTTGAGTGGGTCCAAGGGCGGCGCCGCACCCGCCTGCAGCTCCACCACGCCCCCAGGAATGGTGCCGTCCCGCCGCCACCACCCCTGCGCGCCGCCCGCCGGCGCGCCCGCCTCCCCCTGCTGCTGCTCGCCAGCCTCGCCAGCTGCGGCCGCTGCCGCCGGCGCCGCGCCCTCTGCTGCCGGCGCTGCTCGCGCCGCCGGCTCCTGCCCCTGCTCCTGCCCCTGTTGAGGCTGCTTGCCATCCAAGATGTGTCGCTGCACCAGCTCATCGGGGTGCGCGTGTGTGCTGGCCCAGCGGCACGTGATGCCATAGGGGCAGCGCTCGGCTGCATGGCAGGCGAGAGGGGCGAGCACGGTTGGTGCAGCACCAGTGGGAGCAGGCGCGACAGTGCAGCGGGCCGCGCCGCAGCAACCAGCAGCGACACCAGGCGGGTGCGGGGCTCCCAGGCGGGTGCGGCAGCATCTGGAGGTGACGAGGGCAGCAGGCCCAGCGCAGGGCCAGGGCGGGGCAAGCGCAGGCGGCAGGGCACCGAGGGCAAGCACTAGTGCGGGCAGGCGCGGAGGCGGGGCACCCGCCTGCGTTGAAGGGGCAGGTGCCGGGCAGCTCTGCGGGCTTGCTGCGCAGGTAGGCATCCACATCATGGTTGAACCTGCGCCGTGGGGACACACAGCCGCGCGTCTGGGGAGCGTGGAGGTGAGGAGCCAGCCCCTGTGGTGCACAGGCTGCACGGCAGCGCCACAAGGTGCCGCGAGCCGGTGCGACGACGGCGGGGGCGCCCTCGCCTCACCTGCACCCGTCGCCAAAGGGGCACCTGCCCAGCGCAAACGCCGTGCACAGCTCGGCGCTGCTGAACCGCTGCTGCGACCGCTCCTGCAGCCAGGGGAGGGAGGCCAGGAGGGCCGGGCAAACCAGCGGCTAGGCATTGACCACGCTGCCTTCTCCTGTCCACCTGCCTGCCCTGAGCAGCCAGCGGCGCCCCATATCCGCCCACCCCGCACCTTTTTAGCCTTCTTCTTGGACTTGGATTGCACATCGCGCTGCCGCTGGCCCTCGCCAGCAGTGGCCCCCGCCGCCGCCTCGGCAGCTGCGGCAGCGGGCGCGGGCTGCCCCTGCCCCACGGCAGCGGCGGCGGCTCCAATCTGGCCGCCCGTCACCGCGCCCACGTGCACATGGCAGGTGGTGGCGCGCAGGAACTCAGCCTTCACAGGCGCCTCGCCGCGCGCCGCTTGCTCCTCAGGGCTCAGCTGCGGCCGTGCAAGCTGGGCAGCCGGGGCGGCGGCGGCGGCGGCAGGGCCCGCCTGGGTGCCGGCGTCTTCCGTCGCCATCCTTCCCAAGCTGTGCTGCCTGATGACGTCCTCCCGACGATCAAGAGGCGCAGAGAGCTACAGTGGGTGGGGGTAGGGATGGGGATGGCCCAGCATGCACGCTGGGGGCCAACTGTATGTGGCCAGGGTGCTCCAGGGTTGCTCTGATAGCCCCTGGGAGCCGTTTCGAAGTCTCAGCAATGCATGACTTGCATGCTGTGGCGGCAGAACAGGCGGTGTATTGCTGGGGTGACCAGAAAGGGCCACATGGAAGCAGTTTTGCGCCTGGTTTGTTTGCTGAATGGCGTTCTGGCAGCATCTGGTGCACAACCACATTGGCTGCCCGACCATCTGGCGCCCTGGCAAGCTGGCATCACATGTCCACGTTATGTGATCTGCAAAGTGACATGCACCGTACCAAGACAACTGAGCGCTGATGGTCAGCATCTGAAGCCGTTGGACCGAGACGAACACCCCTCAGCATTGGCTGTTTCGCTCCAGCCCGAGGGCATGCATCATTGTGAGTTGAGCACAGTAGCGGCCGCGCGCGGCAACTGCCGCCTGCGCTCGGCTGCGGCTGCAGCCCCGAGCGCGCAGTAAAGCCATTGACCAGCGCATTGGCTGCAGGAATGAGATCACATGGCACGCTTCTTGGACAGCCTGGGCTGCACTCTTCTTGGGGGGTGGCGTCGCCCACAGCGGCAGCACCCGCTGGGCACCACGCAGTGGGCGGCACCAGGGCGGGGCAGCCCGCAGGCGGCCCTCTGGCTCCCGCTCCTTCCCGGATGCCTCCACGCCCTTCCCTCGCCCACAATTGACGCTCCGGGCCGCTGGTGGAAGCGGGGGCGCCGGAAATCGCTTTCATGCTCGGACCCAGGTGATCCCCACCTTGTTGGCTAAAGACCCGGCCCAGCGCCCCCGCTCCTGTTCCCTTGCCCTGCGCAGCTCCAGGAAACCTCAGCAACCATGCAGACGGTCTCTCTGTTTGGCTCCCAGGGCACGTGAGTGCGGGCAGCCAGGAGCTTGCAGTGGAGGCTGCCCATTACTAGCTGTGGGCCTGGAGTGCAGCCTGGGTCGCCCTTTGGCAGCCCCAGCTCTCACAGTGGCTACAGATCGGAGCCTCCAGATATCGCAGACCCCAGCAGGAGCCCTGCCCTGCTCACCCAGGCCTCGCCTCCGCGTTCCCCTCTGCTTGCAGCAAGCTCCTGAAGGGCAAGGGCGCCACCAAGGCCAAGTCTGCCGTGAAGAAGGCCTCCGCCCCCCGCAAGGGCTCTGGCACCGAGCGCTCCGGCGGTGCTGGCTACCGCCAGTATGATGGTGAGCTCGCTGCGCTGATTCGATGCCGGGCAGCGCCTGCAAGAGCAGCCAAGCAGCGGGCGGGCAGCGCAGTCCTTGTATCAGGCGCTGCAGCCATCATCTTATCTTGCAGGATAGTGCTGGCTGGCCTCCCTGGGGGCCCCCTCCAGGCCTGCTGCCAGATTTTCTCGTCTCACGGGGCAGTCAGCAGCCGGTTGCGCGCCCGGGAGAGCTGTGCTGGGCCCGCAAGCCGCGCCGGTCCTGACGCGCCGCCGCCGCGCCCACCCGCCCCGCAGGCGATGCGCTGTGGCTGCCCAACACCTCCCGCCCCGCGTGGCTGGACGGCAGCCTCCCGGGCGACCGCGGCTTTGACCCCCTGGGCCTGTCCAAGCCCGTGGAGTACCTGCAGGTCGACGTGAGTGCCGCAAACGCCAGCACACGTGGACAGCCAGCACCCAGGCGGGGCCAGGACCGCAGCAGGCGTGCAGCAGCTGTCGCCCTCCCGCAGCCCCGCCCGTGCCAGCCGGCCGCCTCCGGAAGCGGGCGCGAGCGCTCCAGATTTTGGCGGCGCCACTCCGCTCTGGAGCGTGCCGCCGGCTTGCTGTCGCCGCATGCGCTGATTGGCTGCCCGCCCCCCCTCCCGCTCCCGCCTGCAGCTTGACCAGCTGGAGCAGAACAACGCGGTGAACAAGGCCGGCTCGGTGGTGGGCAGCTTCACCCCCGTCATCGACGAGGTGTCTGCCGTGCCCCTGGCGCCCTACAGGTGTGTGCGCGGGTGCAGGCCGGGCTGCCCACGCCCGATGCCGTGCCGCGCCCCGGCTTGCTTGGCGGATTGCCCTGCCCGTGCCCGCAGCTGAGCTCTCACCGCGCTCAACCCTGTTCCCCTGCGTCCCTCCCCTCCTGCAGCGAGGTGTTTGGCCTGCAGCGCTTCCGTGAGAACGAGCTGATCCACGGCCGGTGGGCCATGCTCGCCTGCCTGGGCGCCCTGGTCCAGGAGGGCGTGACCGGCGACAGCTGGGTGGCGGCGCAGGTGCGCGCCGCTGGGGCCTTCCCTCCCTTGCTCCCGCGCGCGTCTGCGCGTGCTGCTGCCGCTGCCTGGCCTGGTGCCATCTGGAGGCGGCCGCGCTGCCGGCTGCCGGCTGGGCCCGCTGTGTGCATGCCCCGCCCCCGCCCCTGCGCTCACCCTTGCGCCCCGCCGCCGCCTCCCTGTGCAGACCCTGGTGTACGACAGCCCCCAGTACGCCGGCGTGGAGCTGCCCTTCTCCATCTACAACCTGGCCATTGCCAACTCGGTGCTCATGGGCGGCGTGGAGCTGTTCCGCAACGGCGAGCTGGACCCCGAGAAGCGCTGCTACCCCGGCGGCGTCTTTGACCCGCTGTCCCTGGCCAGCGACGACAGCGAGCGCACCGACAAGCTGCGGGAGGCGGAGATCAAGCACGCGCGCCTGGCCATGGTCGGCTTCCTGGGCTACACCGTGCAGGCCTGGTACACGGGCGAGGGCGCGCTCGGCTCCCTGCGCAAGTTCGGCGAGGGCTTCTGAGCGCCCGCGCCAGCAGCAGCCCCCCGTCGCCGGCGGCCGGGCTGGCGCCCAGCCCAGCCGCGGCAGCAGCAGCCAAATCCCCCCGAGAAGAACCCCCCGTTTAATGACCCCTTGCCCACCCTCCCGCCACTCCCCTACTGTGCTCTTCCGCCTCAGCCTGCGGTGCGCCGGCCCCGGCCGCGCGCCGCAGATCCTGCTAGCAGTTTTTTCCCCTGGCGGCTTCATCACTCCGCCGGGTGTTTGCCATTTTGCTCACCACCAGCAGCTTGCGTGTCTGTCGGAACCAGAGGATGTGCATTACCTTGTGTAATACCAGCATTGCACAGATGAATTCATGGGGTGGGGTGGAAAACAGGAGGGTAGTGGATGCAGAAACTACATGGCTTGCATCGTGAAAAGAATGGGTACAGTAGTGCGGCAGTGGGGCAAAACAAAATGGACCAGGCCGGAAGGGAGAATAAACAGCGTGAGGCAGGTTGGGCAGCGGAAACACCTGGTAAGCAGTCCGAAAAGCAAGGAAAAAAACAAAACTGCATGGGACAAAATGAGGGACACCTGTCCTCACACCAGCAGGGGCGCCACCAGGCACGAAGCCCCCCACGTCCCAACCAGAGCTATGAACCAGGCCAGCGCACACGCGCCGCCGCTACAGCGGTCGCACCGCCGCACCTGCTGGTGTGGCTGGCGGCAGAGCAGCAGGCGCAGGCACGCCTCCACGCAGCCCGCTGCCCGGCCGGCCAGGCCGCCGCCGCCACGCTCTTGGGCCGTGACCTGCTGCCGCGCGCGCCGCGGGGCGGCCGCTGGCTTGGGCAGCAGCAGCAGTGTGGGCAGCAGCCAGCCGAGCGTGGTCCAGGAAAACAGCAGGGCCGCCATCCGACGTGCATTGATGTCTGCGGGCAGGCAGGCAGGACGGGGCTGGGGCCCTGTAGCGAGCGGCAGGCGGGGAAGCCAGCAGGGCACCATGTAGTGCCGGAGCTCACCGCCGGGCACGATAACTCGTATGGGTGGAGCCGCCACGGATGCCACCAGAGCCGCCCAGCCGTGGAAAGAATTCACGGCAGCATCCATCTTGGGGCCGGACAGCAGCTGCGTGCGGGGAAGGGACGGAGGCGGCTTCCTCTCACCAGCCGGCATGCGGCTGCGCAGCAAGCGCACTTGCCACAGGGACAGCAGCCAGGTCGAGCACATCGCGCTGCAACATGGTTGCTGGAGCCATGCCACGCAGCGGGCGATGCAGGCAGCACAACGTCTTGCGTTCCAGCGCCAGCCTGCCTTGCTGTTGCAGTAGACGTGCCCGCCAAACACCGCCAGCAGCAGGATGGTGCACGCTTGCAGCGCCATGTGCACCCTGAAGGGTACCCGCAGGCCCAGGCAGCTGAACCAGAGCTGCCCCACCCGTGTGGCTGCAGGCGCGGCCAGCGGGCCAGGCATGGCACAGCGGGTGTTGGTAGGCAGCAGGACTCGCTGCGGCGCGGCTTGAGAGCCCGCCACCCCTCCACCTGTGCCCACTCACCCATGATAGCTTGAAACACGCCCACCAGGCCGAAGTGCGCTGGGTTGAGCTCTGGCGCAAAGCTATCCAGCACTTCCCGATTGAACACAAAGGGCTGGGCGTACAGGAAGAAGCGCAGCAGGGCCAGGGCGGGCACACGATACCGCCCATAGCTGCGGCGGTGCAGCGTGGGCCAGGCCACGGTGATGCCCAGCACTGCAGGAGGGCAGGGGGCAGGGGGCGGCCCCACGAGCGGCAAAGACTTGGGGGCAGGCTGGCGGGTAGAGTGGGTTGGGACAAGGTGTGGTAGCGGCAGCAAGCGGGCAGACGACTTGCGGCGGCAGCAGAGGTGCAGGTACAAGCGCTGCACATTGTGCAGGGTGGCTGCTGGCATGAGCAGCGATCAAGGCAAAGGGTTTGACGCGCCACAAACTCACACGCAAGCGCACACAGGGTGATCTGCACTGTCGCGCTGGCTTGCACTAGGGGCGCCAACTTCAAGGCTGCCACACTCCACATAGCCGCCGCCAGCGCCCCAAAGCTCCTGTCCCACGAAACGACCTCATCGATCGACAACTCGCGGGTCATTAGCCGTGTGCTGTGGTGCTGCAAAGAGGAGGTGCACAATGCATACTGAAGAAGAAGCGCTGCGCCAACGGGGTGGAGTGGTAGCGGGCGCCACGTAGGCGCCGCCGCAGCGGGGCCGCCATTGGTAGTCGTCGCAGTCGCATGATTACATAGCACCACGACATTTGCATTCATGTGTATTCCTGTTGGATCAACAACACCATCGCCTGACCTGGCAAGCTCGCTGTACCACCGTGGCGAGCAGGAGCGCACTGCACTGGACTGCCTGAACCCGCAGCTTGATCGGCATTTCGTTGGCCAAGACTAGAGGGAGGTGCAACAAAATTGGAGAGGGCAATGCGTTATAATTGCAGCTGTTCTGCTCATGTACTGCTCATGGTACTGCAGGCAGCCCATTGTCAAATTATTCTCCCTCTGAATAGTTGTCTTAACACACAACATGGCTCGAAAGGGACCAGTCGCAGGCACATACGGTGGGTGGCTGGGGAAGGGGAGGGTCAGGATGGGTGCGGCCACAGATGCTGTCCAAGGCGCGCCAGGCGGCACCTTGGACCCACCCACGCTGCTGCCCCCACCCTCCTTGTCTCCAGGAGGCCCCAAGCAGCTGCCGCGCGAGCGGCGCAGGAACAAGGCCAAGTGGGGCAACGGGAAGGCGGAGAAGGTTCAGCACCAAGCCCGCGCCAGGGCCGACCACGCGGCGCGCAGGAGGCGCGCCATGCCGGCCACGCAGGTGGGCCAGCCAGTCTGCTTAGCCCCCACCGTGTGGGTTTGGCCTGAAGCCTGCACGCCTCAGGCGTGGGCTTTCTACCTTATGTGTGCAGACAACGGTGATGGGCGTCAAGCAGAACAGCGTCCTTCTGAGTAATGAGCGCTCGCCCTGAGCGCCAGCTTCCAGCGATGCTTGCTGGCCACCTGGCAAGGGCATGCTCTGTGGAATGTGCAACACAGAATGGCTACCAAATGGGAGAGCAACAGCAAGCAAGAGCGGGAACAGGAAGGAGGCAGGTGCAGGCCGTTGCATTCCGGCTCACAGCCTGCTCTTGGGCGCACCGCCGCCGCCGCCGCCGTCGCCGCCGCCGCCGGCCAGCCCCACTGCACGACTCTTGGCCTCCACGCCGCGGCTCACCCGAGTGACCATCGCACGGGGCACCAGCGGCGGCCTGCACCACCAAGGCAGGCGCGCAGCGGGCGGTCATTGCTTGAGGCAGGGGTCGGCATGGCCGCCGCCGCCAGCCTCCAAGGTGTTGAGCAGGCCACGCCAGGGAAACCGCAAGGCTGGGAGCAGGCAAAGCGGCTGGCGGCAAGCAGGGTTGGCCCAGGCAGCAGGCATGGGGAGGCCACCCACTTGCACATCCACTCCGCCCCATCCACCACCAGGGTGTGCCCCGTGATGAACGCCGCGGCGGGGCTGCGGCAGCGGCAGGGGAGGAGGGGCAGGGTGGAGCCAGGAGGAGGCAGCTGGCCAAGGTCCGGGCGCTGCACAAACACCCAGCCAGCCAACAGACCCAGCCAGGCAAGCTCGCGCCCGCTCAGCCACACGCCAGGCAGCCAAGCAAGCAGCGCGGCGCACCGCTGCCGCCCCGCCCCCACCTGCACAGGAACACGCAGGCCATGGCGATGTCCCAGCGCCGCCCCATGTGGCCCAGCGGGATGGCGCCAGACATGCTGGCAGCCGCCGTCGCGGAGCCCGCGCCGCCGCTGGGGGCCAGCTTGGCCATGCCTGCAACGAACGCAGCAGCAGCAGCAGCAGCAGCAGCAGCAGCAGCAGCAGCAGCAGCCGGCGCAGCTTCAGGCCAGGGATGGGAGGGAGGCAGGGCACCCAAGGCTGCCTGCCGGGCTGCCGGCTCTGGAAGGTGCCGCCGGCCCAGGGGCTGCACGCCCGGCCGCCGCACAGCTGGCGGCGCCTGGCTGCAAAGTAGCGCAGCAGGCGGGGGCAGGGATGCAGGCGGGGGCAGGGGCGCAGCGTGGCGCCCACCTGCGGTGCCCTCGATGGGCCCCGGCGCCACGCCCGCCGTGCGTATGCCGTAGTGTCCCCACTCCAGCCCCAGGCTGCGCGTCAGCGCATCCACCGCCGCCTGCACCCAGCCAGCCAGCCCCGCCAGCCCGGTCAGCCCCGGCAGGCAGCCCGGCTGTCGGTGCAAGGCGCGCGGCTGATGGGAGCAGGCTGTCCCGGTCCCCGCCCTCCAACGCCCTCCCGCCAATCTGCTGCCCCACTGTGCCTGCAAACCCCAGCGCACCACCTTCCCACTCCCTCAAACACGCACGCAAAGCCACGCAAACACCCTGGTTACCAACCCACCTACCCCACAGGCACCCCCACACACACGCACCTTGGCCGCCGAGGCGTGCGCCTGCCACCAGGTGGCGCCGTAGTGCAGGGTCATGGAGATGTTGATGATGCAGGCGTCCCCGCTGGCCCTCAGCGCCTCAAAGGCGGCGCGGCTGGCGTTGAAGGTGCCCAGCGCGTCAATCTCCAGCACCGTGCGGAAGCCGTTGCTGCTCAGCTGCTCCGCGGGCGACAGGAAGTTGCCGGCTGTGGGGTGCGGGGAGCGGGCGGCGCGGCTGGTGTCAGGCGGGGAGGGAGGAGCCCGAGGGCGGCACGAGGGGCGTGGCGGGGCAGCCCTCAAGGCCAGCGCCGGGCGGGGCGGCACCCAGTGCCAGCCACCTCCAGCCCCGGCAGGCCGCCGCCTCTGCCGCCACGTGCGCCAGGTGGCGGCGCCGCGGCACCTCACCAGCACAGTTGACCAGCGTGTCGAGCCGCCCGAAGCGGGCCACCGCCTCTGCCGCCATGCGCTCGCAGTCCTCGTACCGCCGCACGTCGCCCTGCAGCCGGGCAAGGCAGGCAGGCACGGGCGAGGCGGGCGGCGATGAAGCGAAGGACGGCGCCAGGCGCTGCTGCCGCTGCCGCGTGGAGCGTGGAGGGGGGGGCTACGGCCCGCCCGCGACTTCCCCAGACAGCGCAGTGCGAGTGTGGCACCTCTTGCTGCTGCCTTGCCTGCACCCAGTGGGCGGCCACGCCCTCGGCGCCAAGCGTCTGGCAGGCGTCGCGGAGCACCGCCTCGCGCCGCCCCGAGATGACCACCTTGGCACCGTGCAGGCCTGCAGGCGCGGGTCAGGCTCAGGGGCAGCTGAGGGGTGTTGAGAAGGCTGCAGGCACGCTGCTCCCCGCCCATCTCCGACACATCCTGGCCGCACCCAGTTGCCTGGCGATCTCCAGGCCTATGCCACTGCCTCCCCCCGTGACAAGCGCCACCCTGTGGGCCAGGGTGCCTGGCTTGAAGGGCGACTGCGGCTCCATGTTTTCTGTGTGGTGCACGTGGGTGCTCTTGGGAGGAAGAGAAGAACACAGACGTTGCGCATGTGACTTCGCCGAAATGCCCGGGGTTTCAAAGCTGTGATGGGTCTGGAGCGCCGCTGCCGCTGAGTCACTGACCGCTGGCGGCAGCACCGGCACATGGCCCGCGCCGCCTGCCGCAGCCTCTGTGCGCTCTCTCTTTGTGCAGCACTGCTTTCCTTGATGCATAGCTGGATGTCGTGGCGCTCGACCAAGTGGCTGATTGGCCTATGGCGCCCTCTGGCTAATGTGTGATGCCGCAAGGCTGGCAGTGGCCCATCGGGCCCCCAAAGCCCGCCCTCCCCGCAATGCCAGCGAGCACAGCGCCTGTGAGGACACTGCACATATATTGCTCCAACACCGCTTGCACATAGCCTGATGTAGTGCCATGATGCCATGCCCGTTGTTGTGTTGGGTCAGTGGGGCAGCTTCACCGGCAGGTGCGGGCACTGATGGCAGCGAGGCCATCCCACCTGTTATTCGTCAGCCTGCTGATCAGCTGGACTCGGGTGGTAGGCCCTGCATGCTCAAAAGCTCCACAGCACTGCTGCCTTGGGGCCCATCGGGCCTGGGAACGGGGCTCGCCGCCAACTTGCCTGGTGCCGTTGGCGCCGCCGTTGGCGCCCGGTGCCGCTGCCCTGCAAGGATGGGAGCCCCGTCCTGCCGACTAAAGTTCATGGTGGCTGTGGCTGGTAGAGCAGCATGTGTTGGAGCTGGGGGTGGTTCAAGAAACCTTTGAAATCGTCGAGGGGACGGACGTCCTCCTCAGGATTTCTTTCCACCTCAGAAGGGGTCTCTAAGACCTTGCACGGCTTCTTTCCCTCCGGTCTTGCCCTCTGCAGCCCATACATCGCTGCACAGAGCATCCAGATGCCTTTCAACATCGATTTGGAGGCCCAAACCGCGCTGCAAGTTCGAATTCGGGCGACGCCCGTCAACTTCCCACTAGCAGCCGGCTGGCCGCGCAACTGCACTGTTTCAGACGACCCCCGCGTCGTTGTGGAGTCTGTGAGTGATTACCCTCCCACCACGCCACCCATACCTCCCTCTACTGCCGTCGGAAGCCTCGCACCACGCTGACCCAGCGCCTCACCTCCCCCACCGCGCAGCCAGCGCCGTCAACAACGCCGCAGGTCGGTTTGCGCAGTAAACAGGGCATGCAGCTGCGCTGCGGGGGCGGCAGGCCGCCGGCAGCGGCTGAGCGCCCGGCGTGAGCGGGCAATGCATCGGTGCTGCCAGTGCCTCACCCTGAGAAGAAGGGCCGCCCTCTGGAGAGGGGGGTCTGCCCGCGCACATCATGAGGCAAGCGGGCAGGCCCCGACGCCCGCCCAGAACCACCCTGAACCTGGCTGCTGGCTGCGGGACTGGCCGTCGCCGCCGCTTTGCTGCAGGGGTCGCTTGGCGCACTAACAACGCAGCTTGATGCTCCTGGCGGGCAGCCGGCATGACGAGCACCACAGGACTTGGACTGGCTGCCGCTGTGATGAACCTGTTGGCGGTGAGTGCGGCAGCCAGGCCCACGCATGGCGGTGGCGGTGGCGGCGAGCTGGCCAGCTCCGGCCGGAAGCTCGCCTCACACCCTCCCACTCCGTCCCTTGCCCTGCAGTGCGCTGCCGCCTGCACTGCCGTCTTGCTGGTGCTGGACCAGCCCATGGCCCAGCAGCCATGGGCTGGTCCAGCAGCAGCGTTCTGACTGGACAGACCGTACCATCATAGCCGCCGGCCTGGTGTCGGCTGCCTGCGCCCTGGCGACAGCGGTCCGCCAGGTGAGAGCAGAGCTATGCACGCGTTCAGCCTCGGCTGGCCTGGGTTTGCCCAGCTGCCTGCGCCTCGCCCAGGGTTACTTCAGGCTGCCATGGCTGTAGCTTCAATGACTCCGCCCTCGTCTGCCGCCTGGCTTGCTCCGCTGCTGCAGGTGCACTATGGCAGCGCCGCCAGCTGCTCTAAGCTGGGCGCCGCGCTGCCCGCCATTGGCGCCCTCGCACACATTGCCATGATGGGCACTCTGACAGGTGCGTTTGTGGGTGCGCTGCTCCGTGCCCTGGCGCACCATACCGCCACCACGACTGTCTGCCGACTGGCGCCTCCAGCTTGCTTGCTGACAGGCTGTGATGCCCGTCCCGCTGCCCCGCCCCCCTGCCTGCAGTCTTCTGGTGCTGCTTCGCCACCCGCCGCTACTACAAGCCATTTGGTGGCGGCCCCAGGGGAGGCCAGGTGGTGCTGCGCCCGGTCAACTACTTCCACCACTGGCACCACTGGAGCGACGAGGAGATGGCGCTGTATGCGTTTGGCTGCGTCGGCGGCACCGCCGCCTGGCTGCTGGCGTTGGCGGCCGCCGCGCTCGACCGCCGCCGCGCCACGGCCATCGAGCGCGCGGCCGACGCCGCCAGCCGGTTGATGAAGGGCGGCCTGGGCGGCGGCACGACCGGCAGGAGTAAAGGCGGCGAAGACGCCAGCAGAAGAGGGAGCGGGACGCCCAAATGCTCAACACCCACGCTGCGGGAACCGCTCCTGCCTACCACAGCCCAGTGATGGCTGCTCATTGAGTGAGCCACCACCGGCAGCAAATAAATTACCCCAATTCTTCGCATAAGGTGGCCCCCCTAGCCCCGCCTGCACTCTGATCAACCATTGCCTGGCGCTCTCAGGCTGAAATCGAGCTGTGAGCTTCACCTGCTGTCACATGCCCTCCCCCGCCGCCCTCTGCCACGGCCGGGCCTGCAATTTTTTCTCTTGCGTGTTCACATCCCTGCAAATGTTGCGTACTTTTCGTTTTTGTTTAGATGAACAGCTTCCCTGCGCCCTGGTGCCTGCCCACCCCTCGCCCTTCTCACCACGCCCTCCCGCTATAGTGTACGACTTTCAAACTTTCCCATTGCCCCCATTCAGTGTACCAAATTTTCAATTTGAGCGCTACTTCTTTCTCCTGCATCACCTCTTTAAGTCACCATCAACAGCTGATGGAAGAGAGCCATTCTTGGGTCGCCGACGCGTCAGTACGTCAGTACACGCAGCACAGCCTGGGGAGGGGCGGCGCCGTAGGCAACTGGCAGGCCTGGTGCGCTTGCAGTTATCACGGGCCGGCACTGGGCAGGCTTGCCTGTGTGACGTCTGGGTGGCTGGAAGGGCCGCTGGCTGCAGTACATGCCTGCGCTCATGGCGGCAGCTAGCGGTGTCACGCCAGCTGGCCGTCCCATGCCTGAATGTTTCCTCCTCTTCTCCACATTACAGCTGTGGTCGACTCCCTCTGTTCATCGCCTGTTACTGCAGCTAGCTTAAAAGCAGGTCGGGTGAGCAGAGCTGGACTCGGAGCTGAGACTCGGGATTGGCTTCAGCTTTCGAGCAGTACACTGTGCGTGTTGTCGGCACACTGTGGGTTGCGCAAGCAGCCGCAGGGCGCAACACCTGCCGCCGCCGCCAGCGGGAAGCGGAGCCGTCTCCACCTGCCAGTGCCTGTTAGCAGGCGGCTTCAATGCAGCAGCAGGAACCCTGCCAGCACCCTCCCTCCTCTCTCCACATCGAGCCATACGTTCGACAAGAGGCAGAATTCTGGCCGGCCGTGGGCCGCCATGTCTTGGCGCAAGCGACAGAGGATACAGTCGTTGTGTACCAGGCACGGCGCCGCAGTGGCCCTTTGCTCATGCTCCTGCTTGCGCCACCGCAGTGTTGGTTGCCTGGATGGCTGCAAAGGGTGGCACCAGCATGCATGCCGAAGGTGAGCAATGGGCCACAGCTCCTGCCGCCGGTGCAGGCATACACGCCTTCGATCGGCGTCCTGGCTGCCGGGCAGGGCGACTTCCGGGGCATCCCTGGGTTCAGCGAAACCCGCATGACGTGGGTGAAGACCAACTTTCTGTGGATGGCATTCAGGTGAGGCCCGCTGCTGAGTCGGCGCCTGCAGCACGCCATGCGCAAGCAGGCAGGAAGGCAAGCAGGCACGGCATGCCACTCGAAGCGGTCTGTGACCCGCCTCCCTGCCTTCCTGCGTGCCTCCTTCCTCGCTCTCATGCACCACAGGTGTGGCTGGGCCAGCAAGCCAAACCAAGAGACTGTGCTGGCCATCACGCTGAAGCGGCCCTTCTTCGAGCGCATGCTGGCGGCATCCCTCTCCACCTCTGCTGGCACCACGGCCAAGGGGCCATGCATCGGGGCTGATGTCGTGCTGCAGGCGCGGCTGGCTGCCACCCTGCACCATGCCACACATCCCTGGCGCCTGCACCTTGCACCTGCCGCGGCCTGGACAGGGCGGGCAGGCAACCCTGGACCCTGCTGCATTACTGCAAAGCTGTTGTGCCTCTCCTCTGCTGCAGTGGGACCCTGACCACCTGCCCGATGGCAGCAAGCATCCTGGCAGGCGGGCAGTGCAGGTAGTTGCTGCCATGAAAGGTCCCATCCAGCCACTGAATGGGGCACGCATTCGTCCGTGCACATGTGGTGGCCCGTCGCCTCTGCTGCAGCTGGGCCTGAGGGGCGGCGTGCGAGACGAGTACATTTCCGGCAGGCACACCGTGTGCATCGAGGATATCACTCCCTTTGTGAGAGAGATGGGGGCCATAGCCGCAGGAGGCGAGCCGCGCTGGGTCGGCCTGCTGGTGCCGTCTGAGCGGGTGCTGCGGCTGCGCGATGAGGTGAGGTCCCACATTGCGGCGGATGCCCACCCTGTGCACTAGAAGAAATAAACGGCCTGTAAACAATCGCGAGGCTCTACAGAGCTCATACACCAGGCATTGGGCAAATTGCATTCAATGCAACCCCAGAGCGCGACGGCGTGTCGCGCCTGCTAGGGCGCCGCCCCGCCAGCTGGACCTGTGAAGTTCAAGCCTCAGGTTCCTGAAATGCAATGAAGTTGGGCCGTTAATCTGCGCATGCCGTGAGCGAGCCAAGGAGGCGACACTTCGCTTGAGGCGGAGGGCCACCTGCCGCTTTGCGGGCTTGCAGCGCCTCACGGCACGCAAGCTCAATGCCGCATAGCGCTCTGCTGTCATGGCTGCTGCTGCTGCTGCTCTGCGGAGCCCGCGGCTGCGCCTGCCATGGCGGCGGCGGGCGCCACCTGCGCCTGTCTGTGCAGCCCAACGACACCCAGATCTCCAATGATCCTGGGCTGGACCCTGCGGTCACAGACTTTGAGCTGGACGATCCACGAGTGGTGGGTCCCAGCCTGCCTGCTTGCCTGCTGTGTGCAAGCGAGCGGCAGCAGCAGCGATGCATCCTGCCAAAGCGCCGCTGCTATGCCACTTGCATGCTCACCGCCAGTTCCATGCCGACTTTCATCCTGCGCCTGTGCCTCCCTCGTGCGTGCAGGCGCGCACGGCGGTGGGCTGGGAGCCGGAGGGTGTCCACCTGACGCTGTGGACCCGCGACTCTGTCCTTGTCAGCTGGCAGACGGGAGGTGGGTGTGGGGCGTGAGACGCGCAGGCCAGGCGCCGCCGCCTTGGGCAGTTGCACACCAGTTGCTGCTCCCATGGCGCCAGAGTGCGGGTCGGGGCTCCTGGACCAGCGCCCAGCTGGCGTTTTGGGCTGGACGCGCCCTGCCGCAGAGCCGCGGGTGGCGCCCGCCAGCAGCCCGCCCGAGCCGCATGATGCGGCAGAGGTGGCGGGGGTGGTGCGGTACGGTGAGGCGCCTGGGCGGTACACCCAGACGGTATCCGACGGCACCGACGTCACCTACGCCTACGCTTATGACGAGGCCGCCGGCGGCATGGCGTATCAGGTGCGTGCGGGGCGAGGCGACGGCGCCAGGGGTGCCCCGCCGTTGCCGGGTGCCGCTGCGATTGTGTGGGGCAGATTGCGGCTCATTCCCCCTCGCCTCGCCCTGTGTCTCACTCCCAACCCTGCTCCGCCCGGCAGAGCCCCATCCTGCACCACGTGCTGCTCAAGGGCCTCCAGGCAGGGCAGACGTACTACTACCGTGTGGGTGAGCCCCATCGGCGCTGGACCCTGCTACCATCACACATGCCAACAGGCTGCTCCCGCGTCTCCATCACCGCGTCCCTCCCACATGTTGCTGGGCAGCAGCACGTGGGAGAGTGCTGTCCCCGGACCGACTGTCCCACACCGCTGCCTGCCCCCGCCTGCCTGCCATGCCGCGCCAGGCGGGCGCCACCCCAACGGCACCGCCACGCCCGACGGCAAGGAGTTCAGCTTTGCCATGCCCGCCGCGCCGCCTGCCCAGCTCAGAGTCGGCATCATCGGCGACCCAGGTGGGCGGCTGGGCTGCCGGGAGGCGGCGGGGCTCCCCGATGCCTGCTTCCTTTGTTTCCTTTGTTTGATCACCAGCGTCCCGCACACCTGCCCACCGGCCACCCCCATGCATCAACTCTCCCCTGCCCCCCTTGCAGGCCAGACCCACAACACCTCCACCACGCTGCAGCACCTGGCCGCCAGCCAGCCCGACGTGGTGCTGGTGCTGGGTGACCTCTCCTACGCCGACCTCTACTTCTCAAACGACACCTCCAACGCCTGGTCCTTCCCCTCCCCGCCCTCCACCCAGCAGCTGTGAGCGCCGCACTTGCCGGCGCGGGAAACCCGCCGCCGCTGCGCAGCGCGAGCATGCACGCACGTGGCGGCACGCCCCCTGCATCCCGGCGCCTCTCATGCGCACGGCCATGTTGTCCCATGCCCGCCGCTTGCGCTGCGCAGGCGATGGGACAGCTGGGCGCGGCTGTTTGAGCCGCTGCTGGCGTCTGTGCCTGCCATCTATATTGGAGGCAACCACGAGGTGGAGCACCAGCCAAACAATGCCACCTTCGCCGCCTTCAACGCGCGCTACCCGCAGCCCAAGGCGAGCACCGCGCCGCGCTGCTTCTGCGGCCTCCCTTGCCACCAGCCTCGGCCTCGCCAGCCTCGCCATCGGCCGCCGGTCGGGATGGCCGTGCCTGGTGCCATTTCGGCTGGGCGGCATGCATCGCGTCACAGATGGCTCCTGCCTTCTCAGAAGTCTGCTGGGCTTGCCGCTCCCCGCCCTGTGTGTTCCTCCGCAGCAGGGCCCCTCTACAATCAACACCACCCCCAACAATGCCTCCCACTACCTCAACGCCTCCAACCACCTCCAGTTCGTCAACACCTCAGACTGTGGGTGCAGCCGGCAGCCTCAGCCCCCGCCTTGCGCTTGCACCGAGCCTGCCAGCCCCCCTGCTGACCCTGCTTGCCCCCCGGGCCTTGCCCCCGCGCACCCGCCACCCTGCAGACGAGGTGCAGGGCGGGTACTGGTCGGTGCAGCTGCCCTGGATGCATGTCATCGCCCTGAACAACTATGTGAGAGGTCTCTTCGGCTGTGACTGGCCGGCGCATTGCACCGACGCTTGAGCAGGAGGCAATGGGGGACGGCAGCTGCCTCCTGCTCGCCGCCGCCTCGCCTGTCCCTGCCGGCCCTCCCCCGCTGCCCTGAAGGCTTCTCCGCTTCGGGTGCCCGGCTCATTCGCTGCTGCTGCGTGTGCTGGCATTTTCCCCCCCGCCCGCAGCTGCCACATGACCCGGCCTCGCAGCAGTACAAGTGGGCCGCCGCTGAGCTGGCGGCGGTGGACCGTACCGCCACGCCCTGGCTGGTGGTGGTCATGCACGGCGCGCCGCGCACCACCTACGCCCCGCCCTGGGGCGGCATGTTCAAGGTCGGCGGCGTGTGGGGGGTGGGGAGGGCGGAGCGGCCGGATGGCCTGTCGGCTGATGGCCTGCTTCGTTGCTGGGCACCCCACACAGCCTGCCACCGGCCGGCGCCGCGCTGCCACCTGGCGCCCCGCTGTTTCCCCCCCCCACCCCTGCCGTGTGCCCTGCGCCCTGCTACACAATCACTGCGGCGTCCCCACTTCCCCGCACCGCACCCGCAGGAGCTGGAGGAGTTCATGGCGCACTACGAGCCGCTGTTTTACGGCGCCCAGGTGGACCTGGTGCTGTCGGGGCACGTGCACAGCTACGAGCGCTCCCTGCCGCTCTTCAACTACAGCGTCGACCCTTGCGGCCCCGCATACATCGTAGTGGGTGGGTTGCGGCGGCCGTGTGCCGCGCACGCTGCGCATGCTGCGCGCGCTGGGCTGCGCTGAATGGTGGGCGTGCACGGCGTCCGTGATCCCCCCCGCCCAGGCCCCGGCAGCCCCGGCGGCAGCGCTGCGCGGCGTGCTGTGGGGCAGGCGGGAGGGCCTGCCTGCCGGCTTGCCCGCCCGTGCGCCCACCCTGCGGCACCTTCCTGGCCCGCGCAGGCGACGGCGGCAACGCGGAGGGCCCCGAGCAGCACTTTGTGGATGTGGACCCTCCCGACTGGTGCACTAACACCAGCCTGGTCAAGCTGCCCAGCTACCAGCCCACCATGACCGGAGAGGTGAGGCGCCGCTTGTGGCCGCGCTGGTTCCGCCGCCATGGCAGGGGGAACCCCGCACCTGTGCCTGCGTGGGGCGGCGCCTGACGGCAGGCCCGAGGCGGCATGGATCCCCGCTGGCGGAGCCTGCGACTTCACAACACCTGCTGTGCGCCGAGAGCCCTCCCCAACCGCTCCCCAACAGTGTATGCTGTGCATGCTGTGCAGCCCACCCTGGTGTTCTATCCTGACGGCTCCTATTGCCCCACCTCCCAGCCAGCCTACTCGGCCTTCCGGGAGCCGTCGTTTGGGCACGGCCTGCTGCTGGTGCGCGACGGCGGCACCGCCGACTGGTCCTGGCAGAGGAACCAGGAGGGCGAGGCGCGGGTGGCGGACCGCGTGACGCTGCTGAGGGGCGGGGGCTGCCCGCAGGCGGCGCGGCAGGCAGGCGGCCGAGGCGGTGGCGGCGAGCGGCACGTCGCGGCGGCGGGCGGGCTGCCCCTGGCTGCAGGCGCGGCTGCCGGGGCGGCCATGCAGGCATGAAAGTGACGCCGCGGTCTGGCCCAAGTGCTCCTTTCGCTCTTTCACTTGTTCCCCCTTGTTCCTTGCTCTGTTGCATTGCAAACTCTGCAGCCTGTGAAATGTGACCAGGCCCAGCTCAATCAGTCAAGCGGCTATCTCAGTTCTTCAACGGCTGGCACCGCAAAAATTCACTTACTTCACGTACTCAACAAAGGCGGGTTTTACCATGCCGCCTTTGTGTGGCAGGGTGGCAACCGCAGGCGTGCCGACCCAGGCAGCGTGATGCTGGGCATAGGCAGCAGCCGCCTGGAAAGGCTGCGCTGTCGATCAGTGCAGCACGGCCGCCGCGGCTGCAAGGAGCAGCGCAATGAGCGCCGCGGGCAGCCCCTGCAGCACAGGCGGCGCAGCAGCGGGGAGAGCGCACTGAACGGCGGCCGAGAGGGGGGCGGGCAGCAGCCGGAGCGGGAGCAAGGCCCCGGCCGGCAGCAGGCACCCCGGCGCCGCCGAGCCTGCCCAGCCGCCTGGCTTGCCTGCGCACGCGTGGCGGCGGCCGAGGCCGGCGCCGGCGCCGGCGCTGGCGCTGGCGCCGGCGAGGCGCTGGAGCCGCCGCCTGCCGCGGGGCTGGGCGCGGGCGCGGGCGCGGGCGCCGGCGTCGGGCTGGCTGACGCGGCGGCGGGTATGGCCAGCGGATCAGCTGTGAACAGGTTGTCAGGGTCCACCTGGGCCTTCAGGCCCTGCAGCCAGGCGGTGTTGGTGCCGTAGTAGCTCTCCAGAGGGTCGGCGCCCACCTGGATGTCGTAATAGTTTATGTATGCCGGCTGCGGGCAGGCGGCAGGCAGGGAGGGGGAGGGCAGGCAGGTGGGAAGACGACAGCGCCGCGAGGGGGAGGGCAGGCGGGAGGAGGCAGGGGGCGGGGTGAGCGGGCGGGGCGGGGCGGCGACGGGCAGCCAGGCTGCGGCCTTGATCGCCGAGCGGTCACAACGGCGCCACCACCCCGCTGGCCTGGCCTGGCGCAGCGCCCCCGCAGCCGGCCGGCCGGCCTTCTGGCCCCATCCCCTGCCCAGCCTGCGCCCATGCGCCACCGAACTCCACCCATCAGCCTCGTCAGCTCAGCTCCTGCTGCCCTGGCCGGCACCCACCCGGTTGGGATCAAAGAAGGGGTCCAGAGCCGCCTGCATCTGCTCAATCAGCGGGATGACCTGCAGCAGCAGCGGCGGGGTGGCGCGCAGGCCAGCGAGGCGGGAAGCGCTGGGGCCGGGGGCAGCCGGTTTGGTCACGTGCAAGGCCGGCCCGGGCCTGGCGGTGGGCGCAGCAAGGCACGGCACGCGCTGCCGCCGCTGCCAGGCGGCACGCAGCAACACCTTAACACACCACACCACAGCCGTCACCCACCACAGCACAGCACAGCACACCACGCCACACCACGCCACGCACCTTGTGTGTCATAACATCCTTGCGCCACTCCGCGCCGTACTGGATGCTGAACAGCGCGCCGCGGTGCACAAAGCCGGTGGCGTTGGGCGCCACCGCCCCCACCGCGCCCTGCAGCGCGCGCGGCGGGCAGGGAGGGCAGGCAGGCAGGTAGACAGTTCCTGCTGCTGCTCCTGCACAGCTCCTCCTGCCGCTGCTTCTGCACTTGCGTCATGGCAATCTGCTGCCACTGTTCTGGTAAGGTGCACCGGGCGCACGGGTGCCACACGCCGCTGTCGCCACCGGGGGGAGCTGCCGTGCGTCTACCAGCACTCACCGGCGTGCCGCCAAACATGTCCAGCTCAACATAGCCGCCATACCTGCAGGCGGGCAGGGGGCCGGGGGCCGGGGCGTGCGCTGTGGAGGCGCAGCACAGCGCACGGCGCCCGCTGCGGCAGCCGGCGCGCCGCAGCTGCAGCAGCAGCTGCTCGCCGCCGCCTCACTTGTCGATCTTGGCCTCCCACTCGATCATGGTCTGCCAGGCGGCGTCAGACACCTCCTCCATGGCGAAGAAAGACTTGAGCTTGAAGTAGGTCCTGCACATGGGCGGCGCACGCTGGGCGGCGCCATCAAGAGTGCGGCGAGCGCGCCTGGCAGCGCCCGGCGGGCGGGCCGCCCCTGCACGCATGCCGCCGCTGCGTGCCTCCATCAGCCCCGGGGCCCAGCCAGCCGCTATTGAGCTGCACCCGACTGCTCGGGCTGTGCGCCTGTACCGCTGCCCCGTACCGCCCGGCACCGCACCTGTACTTCTTCTCCATGGCCGCGATGTTGAGCAGGTCGGCGGGCTGCTTCACCACCTCATCATAGAAGGCCTGGTACATGACGCTGTGGATCCAGTCCATCTCCTGCCAGTCCGGCGGGGCCGTCACGTTCCAGCCGGTACCGGCGCCCAGCAGGCCCTCCGACGCCAGCAGCGACTGCAGCTCTTTCTTGGGGCCCTGCACGCGCAAACGCCAGGGCGGGCAGGCAGGGGAAGCCGAGCGGGCACGCAGGGGAAGCAGCGCATGTCAGGGATGCGTGCGCTTGGCTGCACACAAACGATGGGAGCGGCTGGGGCAGGGCAGGGCGGGGTGCTACGGTGGGACGCCGCCCAGGTGCCGCCCAGGTGCGCACTGTGCGCCTGCGGTACATCTTGCAGTGCAACGCACCGGGTACTGGCATAGCACGTCGATCTCGCCCTTGTCGATGTTCAGCTGCGGGGCGGGGGAGGTGCGGCGGCAGGGACAGGTGAGACCAGCGGCCGCGCCGCCTGCCTGCCAGCAGGAGGATGCAGGCAGCCAGCGGCCCAAAGCTGCGCACATGCACAGCTAGCCAGCCAGCCAGGCCCCACACGCAGTGGTGGGCCATGACTGGGCAGCCCAGCCTGCGCCCGGCCGGCTGCCGCTCGCCTGCAGGCCCAGCTTGTTGTTGCCGCGGGGCAGCCAGTCCTTCTGGACGTAATTGAGGTAGGCCAGAGCCTGGGAGGAGACTGCAGCAGGGAGGCAAGCAGAGGGGCCCCAGGG